TCGCCTTGCTCGTGAGTTACCAACCATTTCGCACCAGCGAACGAGACCTCGCCCAGCTCGCGAGTGTTTTTACCAGTGCCACCTGCAGTCCGCGCACACGCGCCCTGTGCTCTCCCTGCACCAAGACCTAGCACAGCTCGCGCCCACAAACCTGAACTCGCTTAGGTCGCGAGTTTCCACCAGCAACCCGCACACTCGCAACCTGGGCGAACTTGCCCGTGAAATCTACTTTACCCGCGAGTGTTTCTCATAAATGTGTATTCTTAGTGTGTCTTTTGGCTTGAGTATAAATAGACTTGAGTGCTTAGTATTTCAAAGAATTCCTTATTTGCAAGAATTTTATTCTTAGTCTCTCTCTCTCTCTCTCTTCTTTCTCTAAGGCTCCAATACCCTATTTTTATTATAATATTTCTCCACCAAGATTGCAACTTTCTGGCTTATTTATTTGTGGATGCACTAGAGACTTAGAGACTTTGTTTAAGGTCCAAAGTTTTTCTTGTCTTTACTTATTAGATTTTTGTAGGATAAAGATAGGAGCTTTCATGAGTAGATTGATCTATCATCCTTGTAGGCTAGGGTTTATGTGATTTTGTTGTTGATTGCGTGAGCGGGAATTAATCGCGTACTTGATTACTTGATTCGCGAGTGACTTGTTGTTGATTGCGTAAGCGAGAATTTATTGAGAGCTCGATTGGTTGATTCACGAGTGACGATTGCTTGATTACATGTTTCCGAACCTATGAGTGTCTTCTTTCCATCTTGGGTCTTAGGGTACCTTGTTTTTTCTCTCTATTTTTTTTTTCCTTGCAATTGGAGGTCTTGTTTGCTTTAAATTTCGAATCTTGCTTTCAAAATAGTTTAAAGTTGCTAATTGTTATTCAATTCGAATTCCAAATCGCGAGTAGAGTGTTTAGGACTTTTTATTTTCTTTTCACGTGTGAGTCAATCGTTGCTTGAATTCAAGGGCGAACAACTTTCCTCAAGGCACACGACCCGATGTAGGAATTTATTTCGTACTCGGCTAAAAACTACAAAATATAATTGCACCGTTGCGAGGAAGGCGAGTAGGCCATTGTATTTAGACAATTGATTGACTTCTTATTCGTATTTCTCTTGCTTTTTGTGAAATTGCTTAATTTTGCGTGTTTCTCTTGCTTATTTTCTTGTTTCATTTCTATTGTTATTTGGTGTTTGTGCCTTTGTAAATATTGTGCCATGTTTTTCGTGTTTTTGTGTTTTTCTTATTTTTTGTTTTTGTCTTTGTCTCATGTGCCCTCTATTTGTTTGTTGTTCTTGTGCGAGGTAATTTGCTTTAGTAGTTTCGATGGATCCATATGGCTATTCTTATGCCGAAAGCTCATCTCGTGGATACCCCGAAAATTACCAAGAGGAGATGTACACACCATATAGAGAGCCGCCCCGTTCGTAGCTGAGCTATTCAAAGTTCTTATTCTTATGACAGATACTCTACATCCCATGGGTATGACCCAAGCCATTCTTACCCGGCATCTTAAGTCGAATTTTGGTTATCATGTTCCGGGTCACGACTGTTTGTCCCGTTTTTGTTGCTATTTTCGTTGATTTCCTGTGTGTCGTTTCCCCCGTTTTAGGTCTTTTCTTAGGTATTTTCGGTCCTCTTTGTCATTTCTTATGCTTTCATCTTTATTTCGGTGTGTTTAGTGTTTTCTTTGTTTTCTTTCCTATTTTCTTCGTTTTTCGTGTTTTTCTTTCCCGTGGTGTTGGTTCCAGGTCTTAGGATGATTGGATGACGAGCACTCTGGCAAGTAGGGAAGTGTGTTATTCGAGCATCGGGCATGCAAAAGTTGAGTTCCCAGCTCGGGCAGTACCCGAGCGACATAGACGAGCGCACGAACCAAAGAAAAAGCAGCAATGTTAATCTTCCGGGCCTTAGCGCCGCTAAGGTGCCTTAGCGCCGCTAAGGCCATAGCTGATAGCGCCGCTTTGAAGTTTAACGGGGACAGACAGCTGCAGCTAACCTTGCTTAGCGGCGCTAAGGAGCCTTAGCGCCGCTAAGGTGGCTTAGCGGCGCTAAGAACCCTTAGCGCCGCTAAGGTCTATTTTGTAACAACTGCGCGATTTCCGTGATTTCGAATTTGGAATGTTATTTTGCTCGAGCTTAGGTCATTTTCTGGGGATTCAGACTTCGTTTTTGGCAGACTTTTCACCTTAGAACATATTTTTCTTGCACTTTTCATCTTGAACTAGCTTTTGGGATTGAAGAACTCCTTTTCTAGCTTTTGGATTTCGGATTGCTCGTGTTTGTTCGACATTGGATTCAAATTAATCGTAAGCACTTCTTTTCTTATTTGATATGATGATGTT